CGCGCGTGCATGTGTGTTGCTGCGTGTGTGTGCGTGTGTGTGTGTGTGCATGTGCGCGTGCATGTTGTTGCGTGTGTGTGTGTGTGTGCATGTGCGCGTGCGTGTTGTTGCGTGTGTGTGTGCGCGTGCGTGTGTGTTGGTACATGTGTATGTGTTGCTGTGTGTGTTCTCTTGCCCTCGCACTGATGCTGCGTGCGTGCGCTATTGCCCCTCACACACATACCAATGAGGGGCAAAAGAGTCTTTTCATGTGTCATTTAGGCTCAAAATGGACGGAAATGTCATATAGGGAATAAAATTTAAAACTTGTGTCAAATAGGGAAGAAAAACTTTTCCAGTGTCAAATAAAGAAACAGATTTTAAGATAGTGTCAAATAAGGAATTTTCTCTAATCCCTTGGTCATTTTATCACTAAAAATTCCTATTCTTTCCTATGTGTATATAGGAAGAGAGGATGAGGTGATGACTGCTGATTGTGATGTCAACTCTAAGGAGGAGGATTGTCGTGTTTAGGGACTAGGGGTGTCCTCTTTGTGGTATGACGCTCGTCTCATTTGTGGTCCCGATGAGGGGCTAACACGCTCAAGATCGACTTCTACTCCATGATGATGAAGATGAATTGACACGGTGATTCTTACTCAAATTTAGGACACTCGGAAGCGTAAAAACCTACGTCCTGCTGGTTGAATTCACTCGATGGTGAAGCTTGATGTTTTAAAGCGCTGAGCACTCCTTGCCAGGATCTAGCCTAGCTTTGTAGTGTCTTAAAATGCCAAGGGTTGAAACCCCTACTATGTAGCCATGGGCCTCCTTTATACCTAAGGGGCCACCACATGTGGCTATTATAGCAGAACACCTTTATATTAAATGCGGGGGTATGTGTCGCTCGGAGCTCTTGCCGGAAAGCAAGATGCATGTCTTAACCCCCACTATGTAGCCATGAGCCTCCTTTTATGCCAGGAGCTCTTGCCGGGGAGCAAGATGCCTGTCTTGTCACACCACTTGTGGTGTATTTGCTCTGACCGTAAGGTGTTGAGTACGTGGTAAATGACCGCAAGGTGTTGAGTGGTGTATTTGCTCTGACCGTAAGGTGTTGAGTACGTGGTAAATGACCGCAAGGTGTTGAGTGGTGTATTTGCTCTGACCGTAAGGTGTTGAGTACGTGGTAAATGACCGCAAGGTGTTGAGTAAGCGGTAAAAAAAGGGTGGTGATTCACCCGCGTCTTCGCCTAACTGCATCGTGCCAGGCTGCCACCCAATCATCCCTATAGTCTAGGCCCACCGCCGTAAGCCCCTGTAGCAGCAGCTGTCGCCAAAAAGTGACCAGTTTATGTGCATTTTGTTCTCTTGATGAACACAACTACTCCCCCGTTCTAAAATAAATGACTCAACTTTGTATTAACATTAGTATAAAGTTGGTTCATCTATTTTGCAACGGAGGGAGTATCTGTGAGGAAAACAAAGACGAATACAGACTAAGGATCAGATCTCACCAGAGACAATTGCTTTTTCGCTCATTAGATATTTCCATGCTAGCAACTACTTGTACATAGGGGCTACAACTACTTGTACATAGGGGCTACTTCTCCCATATATGTACAACACATCAGCTATTATGCAAACCATCTGACTATGTAGCCACACAATTGGTTTTATTTGCATTTTTCAGCTCCACGTGAGAAAGTTGTGCTGAAATGGAGAGAGGCATGACTTTATCCTCGACAACCTCATCAGTGTGCAACACAGGAGTTGTGGGCGAGTCATCCGATTATGTTTGACAGATGACAGAACTTGTTTGCACCAGCTTATACCATCTTTTTAGTCCAAATACGGGGACGCACATGTGATATGCCTCTTCAAGCTGTGCAAATTGGTGGGATGTTTATTACTAACATGTACTTACTCTTCAAACCCCTGTACAACGCCGTTACATGTGCTCCAGTGAAGTGCAGTACCCGGCTGGCACAGAACCTATCAAGTTTTTGACAGTCTCTTACTTCTCGCCTATAATGCTCTTGTAATTAACCATATAGATGGCAACCAATGTCAGAAGTGCACCACCGATCTGCTCAGGTGCGAAGGTCTCTCCCAGATAGAGGAACCTGAAAAGGCGAGGAGTGCCCAGACCAAAAGTTGAAAACAAACATTGCATTTTATGTTTGTGTAAATTTTATTGTCCAACATATTGCAAGGAGTCTTACCCAAAAATGGAGGCGAACATAGGAGTCAAGAAAGTAAGAGAACTAAGCGTGGTCAAACTACCTGCAGGAATAAGAGAGAAGAAGATATGAAGTGCTGATGAGAATAAATTGTGGAGAGCTCTAACTGCATTGAACTGGTTGGAAGCTAACATCACTCTTACCTCTTGTAGCATTGTAGAAGTAGACACCATAGCTGACAGCACTGCCGAATATAGATGTATAACCCAGAGCTGCCATGTCACTCCATGTAAGTTCTTGAATGTGTCCATTAAGAGCAGGATCGTGATTAACAACAGATATAACCAACAAAGGAATCCCACCTAATACCATGTGCTGCAGAGCGATAGAGATAACATTAGCCTTTTATGTGGTGTGATGTCAGGCTTCCATGATTTGAAGTAGGAACATATCTAATACTGCTAGGTTGACTTGATGCTTCCAGCAAAAGCGGTTCAAGTTTCATTTGACGTTGCAATTCATAAGCATTTGCCCTATGCATTAAGCCCCACCATAACATTAGCATTTTACATTTCAATTCATACTTGAGTTACTCAGATAGGCAACCAACTTAGCACTCCTGGAAAATATACAGAATCAACTGGCCCAAGTACACCATGAAAAAAAGAGGGGATGATTTTGAGACACAAAAACAAAAGCATATTGATGGTATTTTAAACGCATGCCACAAAGGCCATCTTATCATAAAATGAATAAATGATAGTGTATTCATCTGCAGAATGCATACCCATCCTGTTGCCATGATTGGATCAGAATACTTTGATACCCAGCGAACCATGATAGTTCCGACCGCCATGCTTTGGGCCGAGAGGAACATCCACCATTCTCCACTCCCCCAGACTGATGTGTTGTTTCCTTCAACTGACAGTGCTGGAACCTAAAGTAGATTTAAAGACAATCAGAATATTATAACATGCACAATAATAATTCATACTCCCTCCATTCACAAATATAAGATGCTCTAACATTTTTTCTGAATCAGATATATATAGACAAGTTTTAATGTGTTTGTTCACTCATTTCAGTCTGTATGTAGTTCATATTGAAATATATAAAACATCTTATATTTGTGAATGGAGGGAGTATAAGCAAAGAGCAACATTTCACCATTTTACCCATAAAGGAACTTCTCACCATTTTACAGATCGATATGTCATCTATTCAGTCCCAGTGTCCCACATAGTAATAGTGGAAGAAAGTCGACTTCAGAACGTTGGCAGAAGGAAATTATTGTATGTACTACTACTAAGCTTAACCATTTAAACTTTTTGGCCGGTTATGCTGCGGTGGCGCGCCATCAGGCTTTGGATCGGCGCAAACGGCGTGGAGGGTCTGGCAGACTGGTCGGCAGTGCATCCAGTTAGATCTGATCTGGCCGGTGCAGCCGGCGGTGGTGGTCATCTCCTCCATCGAAGGTGGTCGGCCTGACGCTGGGTGGTCGGATCTCGAGATCTGTCATCTAGTCCCGGACGAGTCGCGGAGACCTAGTTGCCGGTGAAAACCGAGCTGATGGCGGACGATGGCGACGTTTTGCATCATTACCTTGATAAAGGTATCATCGTGTAATTATTGTCGACCCACTCATGCTGCTCCGGGAAAAATCCTAGGATCTGGTCTTCCAGACCAGACAATGACGACATTGCGGTGTCGTTTCTCTCTTGGGAGCATCGTTTGTGGAGCAGCGCCGGAAGACAGCGGCAGGAGGTGGAGCGGCTTCGTCTTGCACGGAGCTTCGGCGGAGATGTCAAGTCAGGCCTAACCGATAGGTGCTACGCAGTGTCATGCCTGTTCGGCAGGTGCTACGCACTACAGATCTTCCAGTGACTTCAAGCTGTGTCGGCTGGTGGTACTTGGCGGCATGGTGTTGCGGTGTACCGGCGGCGACTGCAACGTGCTCAGCAGTTTGCGTGCAGGGAGGTGGTGCCGTTGGGCGCCATGGTGACGTCGACGGATGGCCGGACTGGCAAGGATGATGTGGATCCCTTTCCTGAAGATGGGTCGACGGTTCGATGATGATGGCGGCTTCTAAAATGTGTGTGTGTGGTGTACGCTTTAGGTTTGCTGCACCGGCTATAGGTTCCGACACGACGACACCGGTTTTAGGCATGGGGAGCAAGAACACTCCACATTATCGACTTTGTAAGTGTGAGTGGTGGCTTCGCGTGGGTTAATGTATGTTTTTGTCAGATCTTTGTTGAATAATCAATAAAGATGGTTGTATGCACAGGCCGGGGGGTTTAACCTCCTTTAAAAAAAACACCATTTAAACCTAAGTAACTTGAGTCATCGAAACTGTTGCGGTCTTCCGGGTTGTACTATACTAATGTCTATTACCTGTGTGTTTTAAAAGCATTTTTGGTACTTCAGTGGTATCTGAGTATACCACTTGCTTTACTTGTTAAAAAAATGTAATCAATTGAAAAACTAATCGTAACCAATATCTGAGCGTGGAGATACGAGATTGCTTGGAAACGTTAGAAATGCATTGCAAAAATGTACTAACCTCGAGGAGCAAAAGCCCAACAACACCCAGTACGAGCCCCCCAGCTCCTATCGCCCCGATAGACTCTCCGAAGAATAGCGCTGCAAGGATAGCAACCGTCAATGGTTGGGAGTCAATTATGACCTGCAACGAGGATCACAGTTCCGTAAGTGATCGTCAGCTCCATCAACCAAGATGGCAAGCCAATTGTTTGCCTTCGGAGCCAGAGAACAGCACAGAGAGTTAGCCTTACGCTTCCGAGGCCAGCCGATGTCTTCTGCAAGCCCTCAGTGAGAAAGCCCTGCAAAAGGAGGAAACCAAACCCATGCTGGCTTCAGGAACCGCACAACCACACGCTAAGGATCACGCCTTTCAGCTATCTAAATCCACCTGGAAGCATGCGGCGTCGATGAGGCCGAAGGCGGCGATGGCGCCCCAGGCGGCCCACCCGGAGGGCTGCTTCCTGCCCCGCGCGGCTGCGAAGGCGACGACGAGCGCGCCCGCGGGGAGCAGGCGGAGCGCGGCGACGAAGAAGGGCCCGGTCTTGGGTATGACCCCCTTCATGGCCACCATGGCCGTGCCCCAGAAGAAGAAGGGCGACACCAGCGACACCCACTCCCACCACTCCCTCCCCGCGAGCGCCGGGGCGACCCCCTCCTCCGCCCCAGGGTCGCCGTCGACGACGCACTCGACGTCGCTGCCCGTGCCCACGCAGTCGAGTTCGTCGGCTGCGGGCGGAGGCGCATCACCGCCCCCGGCTGCGAGACGGAGACGGAGGCGGAGGCGGGGGCGGGGGCTGGGGACGGTGCCGCGGCGTGGGACAGAGGGGAGAACGGGAGCGGAATGGCGTCTGGGAGTTAGTGGTGGGTGGAGCGGGAGGAGGAGGCGGAAGGGCGCGGCGGTGGACATCACGGCCTGCCGGCCGGCGCTCGAGCGGGGTGCTGCGGTGATCCGGCGGGTCGAAAGGCGGCCCCGGCAGCGGCCGGCACGACGGGAGGAGAGAGGAGCGGCGAGGGTGTGTTTCCGCTCGCTCGGCGTGTCGAGCTCAGCTCAGCTCACTCGGCGTGTGGGTGGGTTTCCTTTTTCTTTTTTAGGAACGCGTGTGGGTGGGTTTCAGTCGATCAGCTCGGTGTCGGGCCTGTATTTCAAGCAGCAGGTTGGGTCGGCCCACAAGTGCCACGGCAAAATTTTGACATTTCACAAGATTAACACGATCTTGTCTAGAAATATTAAAAACACAAGATACTATACACGATCTCCCTAAAAAAAAAACATCGCCCACAATCTCTGTGGCTGCTGCTTCCTTCCTTTGAGAATTAACGGACCCAAAATTAAAATACAGATGACTTCTAGCTCTAATGTGAAAAAAAAAGGTATACAATCTACCCCTATACAGTCTCCCCCAAAAGCAAGATCACTGAAATGCTTGTGTGTCGAAGAGCCGTGCAGCTAGCTACGGAAATAGGCGTCCAGAATCTGATCTTGCTTAGATCGTTCCGTGCATGGGCCTCGATCTCATTGAGGAGATCAAAGAGTTTCTTGAAATTTTTGCCAAGTACCCAATCAATTGGGTTAGGCGATCTGCCAACAAGGTAGCTCATAAGTTAGCTAGGGATGGCTGCTTGAATAAAGCATGTAAAACTTGGTTTTGTTCACCTTCGGGTTGTATTTCCAAATTATTGAACTCGGAATTGGTCTAGATGAATAAATGAAGCAGCAAGTTCCCATATAAAAAGAACAAGATCGCCACAAAAGAAGTGAGAAACGAGTGTAGTGTTTCGATGCCCAGTCTTAAATAATTCCAAACGAGTGTAGTGTTTATCTGCACCTGGTTAGAAAAGAAGTCACAAATAATTCCAAAAAAATTTGCATGGTAAAAAATTTTGTGCGTGAGGTCCGCTCTAATTTTCAAATCATTTGAACATCTGAGCAGCTCTCGGCAAAAAAGATAAATCAGGTCAGAACAGTGCATGAACAGAAAAACTTTTTTACACACCCAGAATTTGTCTTTTTTGCCGAGAGCTGCAGAGATGTCCAAATGATTTGAAAATTGAAGCGGGCCTCGCGCATCAAATTATCTATCATGCAAAAAAAATTGAAAAATTTCTAGTATTTGTTTTAATTTTTTCGTCATCGCGGGGTGCAGATGAGTCTAGGCTCAGAAGCGGATTTTTTTTTGAGGAACCAGCAGGAGCACCGCCTTTTTCTTTATAGAAGAGATGGCGAAAGGACGCCATTTACAGAGGGGCGAGCGTTTTTAGAGAACGTCGCAGAAACCACAAAAGACCAACCAACCTAGAATCTAGATTAACCAATGTCGGCGGTTGGCAGGTTGCCGGCAAACGCCAGGTCGCGTTGATTGATTGCGTCTAGGGCTAGAGCCGCCACCTCGCGATGCGTCAGCCTTTGTCCAGTGAAAACCCGTCTGTTTCGCTCCTTCCAAACGGACCATATCGTGTAGATGATTCTTCCACTGCGCCTCTTGCGCACTTGCTTGGACTGGGAATTCAGAGTCTTGTCCCACCAGTCAGACACATTTCCTGGCTCCGGAAGGAAGCCTGAGATTGGAACGCCTTCGTTAGTCCAGGAGTTCACCTGGTTCCAAACCGCGACCGTGAAGGGACAGTCTTTGCATAGGTGAGTTGTTGTTTCTGGCTGCTGAAGACAGAGCATGCATCTGGGATCGTGAGGCCATCCCCTCACGGTCAGCATATCTGCAGGGAGAATTCTTCCATGCAGTGCTAGCCATGCGAAGAACTTACACTTGGGCTCAGCGTTTGCCGACCAGACCTTGGTCGTGTCAAAACGTGAGTAGGAGCCGAAGAACTACGCGCCGTAGGCAGAGGCGGCCGAGTAAGTCCCTGAGGTGGTTAAGTTCCAGTGAATGGTGTCTTCTTGGTCAGGGAGGAGGGTGATCTGACTAATGTGGTTCGAGAGAGACACGAATTCACCTAGCTGCTGAATGGTCTGCAGTCTGGCCACCGCCCTAATCCAGTTCTCGTTCATGAGTTCGTTCTGCACCGATCTGTTTTTTCTTGAGGCAATCCTGTAGAGCTCTGGAGCTAGGAGCTTGAGCGGACCTTCACCAGTCCAATTGTCATGCCAGAACAAAGTCTTCTGCCCGTTGCCCAGCGTAATAGAGGTACATGCGCGAAAGAGGCTCATGTCTGATTGGTCACACGGCAGCTCTGATCCCACCCATGGCCTTTCTGGGTTAGTCCATTGCAACCACGACCACCGTAGGCGTAGGGCACGGCTAAATCTCTGCAGGTCCATGATCCCTAGGCCGCCCAAATGCCTTGGGCGACAGACTGTCTTCCAGTTAACAAGGGAGTGGCCTCCCGAGGTCTGAGTTTGGTCTTCTTTTTGCCAGATGAAGGCCCGAATGATTTGGTTGATCTTTCTAAGAGTCCCCTTCGACAAGTTGAGAGTTGTGATGTGGAAGGTGGCCATGGCCATGAGGACCGACTGAGCGAGTGCCACCCTTCCAGGCTTGTTGAGAAGCTTTCCTTTCCATCCTGTTAGTCTGCCTGCAAACCTATCAATGAAGGGTTGCAGATCAACACCTTTAAGACAACGAAAATGTAGGGGGAGCCCCAAATAGCGTCCCGGGAAGGTGGCAATCTTGGCAGGGAAAACCGACAGCACATCCTGGAGGTCAATGCCGGCACATCTGATCGGGAAGACCTCGGTCTTGCTCAGGTTTGTGATTAGTCCGCTTGCCTCCCCAAAGGTCTTTAGGATTGCCGAAATCGCGTGAAGCTCATCCTGGTTTGGGTTCGCAAAGATGCCCGCATCGTGAGCATAAAGGAAGATCCTACATCTGGCCGATCTGGCAGCAATGGGCTTGAGGATGCCTCGTCGGGAGGCGAGTTGGAGGATCTGCTGAAGGGGGTCAATGGCCAAGATGAAAAGCATCGGAGACACCGGATCGCCCTGGCGGAGGCCCTTTGCATGTCTGAACATCCTTCCGGGGTTTCCGTTAAGTAACACTCTTGAAGAAGAGGACGATAGGGAGAGACATATCCAGTCTCACCATCGCTGCCCAAAGCCAAGGCGTTGCATGACCTACAGTAGGAAGGCCCAATTTATGGAGTCGAAGGCTTTTGAAATGTCCAGCTTGAGGAAGAGGCTTGGGATGTTACGACGATGTAGGTCCTTTATGAGATTCTGTACATGCAAGAAGTTGTCATGGATGGATCGCTTCTGCACAAAGGCACTTTGGCATTTGGATACCAGTGAAGGCAGGATCGGGGCCAGTCTGTTGGTGAGGAGCTTGGAGAAGATCTTGGAAAGGCTATGAATGAGGTTGATTGGTCTGTAGTCTCCGACCACCCGAGCGTCCGCTTTTTTTGGGAGCAGAATGATGTTTGTCGAGTTGATGAGGGAGGCACCGTCCCTGCGGAGATTAGCAAGCTGGAGGATTGCTTGAACGACATCATACCGGATGATCTCCCAACATGTTTTGAAGAAGGCTCCAATAAACCCGTCTGGGCCAGGCGCTTTGACAGAGGGCAGCAAAAAAACCGCGTCTTTTATCTCTTCCTCGTCGAAAGGCGCATCGAGCTCCGAGAGATCATGCGAGGTTATCTCGAGGTTGTCCCTAATTAAGCTTGAAAATCGTGGCGTGGGGGTGCACAAATGGCCCTGGAAGTGGGAAAGGAGCACCTGCTCTTTATCTTCCGCCGTGACGGCAACACCATGATCCGAGTGCAGCGACTGGATGAAGTTTTTCCGCCGTCGCCCATTCACCTTGGCATGGAAAAACTTAGAGTTGACATCGCCCAGCCTGATACCCATAAGTCGTGCGCGCTGGCGCAACTTAACCTTCTGGAAGGATAGGAGGCCGAGATAAGAAAGCTTAAGCCTGCGTCTTAGCTCCAGCTCTGCAGGGGAGAGGGACCTCCCCTCTTCGGCAATGTCAAGCCTCCAGATTACCTCCTTTGCAATGTCAATCTGAGTGTTGAGGACTCCGACTGTATCTCTTTGCCATTTCTTGAGAGCTTTTGCAGTCCGTGTCAATTTGATGTGGATCTTTCGGATTGCATTGGTTGACTGCACTGGTTTATTCCAGGCCATGGCCACCGCTTCCTTGAAACCAGGTAGCCGAAGCCAGAACTCTTCAAACTTGAAGGACGGGCGCCGCCGCACCTTCGTGTCCCCTAGGAGGAGCAGCGGTGCATGATCCGAGCAGGCAGATGAGATGGCCTGGAGGTGGGCATTTGGAAAAAGCTCATCCCAATCGTCGGAGTGGAAGAAATGTTCAATCTTTGTTAGCACCGGGTTTTCTTGAGCATTGGACCATGTGAATTTACGGCCTGAAAGCCGCATCTCTTTAAGCTCGAGGTGATTTAGCGCGGAGCGGAAACTGCCAATGAGGCGGTTGTTAATGTTTTGGTTGTTCTTGTCAGCCGCTTTGGTGATCAGGTTGAAGTCGCCAAGAATGAGCCACCGGGGCTTCACCACATGCTTCAACCCTCTGAGCTCGTTGATGAAAAGCAGCTTGTCTTGCTCCCCCTGAGGGCCGTATACGCATGATAGGGTCCAGTCAAGGCCATCAGCTAGCATGGTGACGGTGGCCGAAATGGATCCATGCGTTGCGTGGAAGTCCGAAAGGCGGAAGAAAGCGTCGGAGACGGCCATGATCATGCCCCCCTTGACCCGACGGCCGGGAGACATGGTAGTTAGAAGTGAAGGAGGGGCCAAGTGTAACGCCCCAGATGTAACTTTCCCTATTTGTACTCCAACTCTTGCCGTCTCCGGTGTCAAGTTATATTTATTTCTCGGGTTCGGGTCTTTCTCTCCGTGTGTTGTTTTCGTTTTCATGCATCTCATACCATGTCATCATGTGCATTGCATTTGCATACGTGTTCATCTCATGCATTCGAGCATTTTCCCCATTGTCCGTT